AATAAAAACTTCGTAACCAATGATTTTGTGCCTGTGTAAAACCTGAACATCCTTTGCTACGAAGCAATTTATCAACATGCTGCATTATGAAGCAATTAAACATGATGAGTAACTCTATATAGCTAGGCAAGGTGTGTCCGATTCCAGCCAATCCGAACACAGTATTTCACATATAGAACAGTATGTGAAATATAAATAACACATGCAAGGTCACTAGTTAAACAGTTGTTATGGCGTCGGCGATGAATGGGCTTTTCACATTGGATTTGATGACTTGGCAACTTGACCTTTGCAAAACATTTCATTGAAAATGTGTTCTTTTAGTGATTTCGTTCCTTTTGGATGATTTTGTAGAAAAACTTGCAATGTGTAAAAAGAATTTAAACCCAAGACTCAATGCATTGTAGCTGCTTCATTCCACTCAGGTGTTGTTTCCTAAACTTTGCATTCCTGCTGGGCGGTCATGCAAAGGTTTGGAAACAAAACCTTCATGGTATGATTCAGCAAACAATGCACTGAGTCCAGGGCTTAAATCCTTAAACCAATGCCTTCAGGGGATATGACTATTACCTCATTTACTTCTGTCTTGTATGGATTTATATAATATTGATCTCTTTCTACAAGCTGCAATTCTTGAGCTACCTGGAAAATAGATGTTTTTCACATTTACGAGGGGCATTTGAAAAGTTCCTTTCTTTTTGCTCTAAAAATATGAGGAATAATCAGAACAAGACAAAACTTTTAGAATGTATAGTTATACTATTTATGATTAAGCTGTGAGAATTATAGCGTGTAATATAATATAGCCACAGTTTTACATCCGTTTGAAATATACTTGTCTCGATACCGCGGAGCAGTTTGAATATGGATACTTTTAAGTCACAATCAATGTATCCAACCATTATGTGCAGTCCATGGACCTATCTTATCTTTGCCACAACATTAAGCCAGTGGGCCTAAGCCATGGCTCTATATCTCCTTCGAAGTATTCTCCCCCAAATAGAATTCACTTTCTAAACCTCCGCATCCAATCCATATAGGCATTTTCCTGTTCAATTATTGCCTTCACTAAAATAATCCATAATTAAAATATTTGCCACTTATTTTCAGCTTTATCCAAACGTTTCCAAGAATGTCATTCATAAGATCATGAATTATTTCAGATTCAATTGAGTTATGAACATAAATAATTAATCCACGGTTTTTATTAGTATAATAGAGGATTTGAAAATCATTGATAACCAAGGAGTTTTCCACATCATTTTTTGTGAGATTTCCCACTTCGCAGAGACCAATTACTTTTATGTCATGTTGCTTAACCCTAAATTTAAGGGCTTCAAATCTTGATAAGTAATTTGCTTTAAGACTATTTATGTTAGAAAATAGGATAGGTAACTCATTTATAGTGTTTTCAATATGCGGTCCGGGATTTGATTCAATATCCCCGCTGAGTTTCAGTATAAATGTGCAATCAACTAGGTACATCAAAAGTGGTGAACCTGGAAAAATAGTCATAATACAGAGTATTCTGTGGAATCTCACACTGAAAAGAATATACGATTTAGTGCAAGATGACCAAGCAATAGCATAAATACAGTATACAAGAAATGGGCCAATAACTGAATGATATAATACACATAGGAGCATAATTTGAACTTTCCAGAAACGCTCTGCTTGGATGTTAATTTTCAGTAAAGTAAGAATCCGATTGAAAAAATATATCATAAGAAGGATGAAACCATCATATTTCAGTGCTCTGATGTTTGATTTCCACACGTCAGGTTTGCTATCATTTCTTAAATACACTTTATATACATTGAATAAGCCAATGATAGCCCTTCATGTGACTTGTTCACTTGGCATTAACCCTCACCTTTCCTCAGTGATCTCCAAAGGCAATCAACTAGACCCAACCAAACAATAAAAGGAATAGCACACATTTTAAGAGCAGGAGCTAGGCAAAGTTAAAACCAGAAAAATGTGACATTTCAATTGAAACAATTAAAAAAAATGCAAAGAACAAGTACAGTATTTAATACATGAAGCACATGCTTATAAGCATCAAGTAGCTTTGATATATAATTATTTACAACTCAATTCATAACTCTAAATGGAACTCAACAGTAAAAGGAAAACAGCTTGTTATCAGGTTTGTCAAGCAAAACTGTAACTGTGTCAGGTAATATGTAAGTGTGTCACTTAATACACGCTACCTAATACACCAGGCGACCTTAAATTAATCAGCAAACTATGTATACTATCTATTTAATGTTCGTTATGCTTCTTAGTCAAACAGAAAAGTGAGCGTTACCACTGGTGATTCGCTCGATTACGCTGGTTACCGAAACGGTTCGTTTCGGTCACAAAATGTCGGAACGTCGAAGGTACGATTTTTCTGTTTTCCTTATTTCACGAGTCGTAGGCAGAATCCCCACGACATTTTTTCTCACAAACGTGTATCAGTATTATATGTTTTAGAAAATGTACATGATTGCGAAAAAATAGCTCAGAAGACAACAGAATCGTCGATATAATTCCTCACTTAAGTTACATAAACGTTGGGGTTAAAAGTGCAGATCTTAACTGTTCTGTTTTTCGAAATACCGTTTATGTAACTTAAGTGAGGAATTAAATCGACGATTCCGATGTCTTCTGAGCTATTTTTTCGCAATCATGTACATTTTCTAAAACATATGATACTGATACACGTTTGTGAGAAAAAATGTCGTGGGGATTCTGCCTACTCATTTTGTATATGTGGTGCTACACAGCAAACGACACATCACTTTTTCTTAAACTGCCCTCTGCTGCAACAAGAAAGATGCACTCTCCTAGCAGGACTAAAAACCTTAGGATTTCTCAACAGTTTCCAAAACTTAAACTCCAATACAATGAAAAAATTCAATTTTTATTATTTGGAGACAGAAATCTAACAGTGATGGAGAATGAACAAATTATTCAAAGAGTTAGCTATTACATCTGTTTAGCTCTTGATATTTTAGATTAAACCCCCCCCCCCTCCCCAAAGGCCTCTAACATTTTTCACCATCCATATTGTGGACCAAATCTATTGTATTTCCATTATTTCCAGTTTGACATGTTTTGTATATTGCCGACAATGTTAAAAAACTTAGGCAATAATATTGTATTATATTTTTATATATTATATATGGAATAAATGAGAAATGGAAGAAATCGAATTTTGAATCAATTCAAAATTCTAAATCACAATTCCCGTCCGGGAAAGTCCATGAAGTTCGTAAACAGACCGTAGAACGTTGTAGGTACCATCATTCAGTTAGCACACAGTTTAAAACCGATTCGGCAACGTTTTTTGATCACCAGAAAATTTTGAGCATGCTCTAAGTTCTGGAGGACCTACTCGTTCGAGTAGTTTCATGAAGTTTGTAAACAGATCCCAAACGGTTCTTACTAGGTTCTTAGTACGTCAAATCCGTAAGTGCACAGTTTAAGCCCGTTTTCGAGAACGTAGTGAGAACTAGTTTGGTGTGATAGTAGGGTAAACGATTATTTAAAATGAGTTCACAATTTTTAACTTTTTGAAATTGAAATAAAAGTTTCATATATCACATTTTGATAACATTGGGTAATACTACAACATTATCCTACATAGGCGTAGCCAGGGGCGGGGTGCCTCTTATTTTTGGCTTGTTAATGCCACAATCGCACCCCTCCGGCTGAAAACCGAAATATTTTTGGTGATCGCACCCCCCCCCCCTGACTGAAAGCTGGCTACGCCCCTGTCCTATGTGGTTTAAACTTTACCTAGGGCTTTTAAATGATTTCTATTTTAAAACTTACTAATGGAACAAAGGGTGCGTCCAGTATGTCAAAAATAAAATGCAATAAATAGAAGGAATTACATTTGTTTTACATCATTTGATATTCCTACGTACCCTCTGCCATGGGATTATTTGAGCTTCTCCCCCACCTCTCTGGTCAACATAAGTCTAGTGACGCTACAGCCAAAAATGAAAAAGGCAAAAAAAACATTGAATCACAAACTTATTTAGGACAGAGGTATTCCATCGGCAACATATTGCACTTTTTTATTGCAAAGCAAAAATGCATATTTCGAATTCTTTGAGATAGACTTTAGTATTGAAGTATGTGAGTTGGATACTTTATTAATTATTATTGAAAAATGTTAACATTTTCATGAAACATTTCCCCGGATATTGTTGTGACGTGCTACTATGGCAACCGTTACTCTACATGTGCTTCGTTTTTTAAACTTTACTGCTTTAACTGCAATACTTAAATACAGTACAATATATACTCGTAAAAGTAAGAGTCCAACATTTGCAGGCTTCTATATGCTTCCAAATGTATACTTTCGATTGCCAAATATTATAAATATAGCTTTTTACAATAGAGAATTCGCCTTCACCTGCATCGCCCGACGTCGCAAGTTCCATCTTGCTTAGTTTCCATCAAAGAAATTGTTCCAAATGTTTTGGCCTCTTTCTCAAAGCATATGCAAATGTATGAAAATCGTGACTTATATTGTATCTTGTTTAATATTCCAGGGTATGGTGTACTATATATATGGCCCCACGTTGTTGGACCTAAGACACCATCTCCAAATCGACATTACGGAAATGTCTACCGCTTTCACCATGATAGCAGTCGGAGCCCTGATTGGCGCAGTAGTGAGCGGATACTTTAACGACCGCTTCAATCAAGCGTTGTTACTTGGAATAGCGATGTTGACCAATATGGGTCTTCTTATCGCAGTACCTTACTTCAAACATATCGCTCCTTTTCTCGTGTGCTGGGGACTGATAGGTGTTGGGGCGTCGGTCGTATATACAGGTAATCTTATATTAATGTGAATAAAAGTAATCAATTTCAAAAATTGTTTAATGGTAGACAAAAGTAGAGATAAATATGTCAGAAATGCAAAAAAATCTATCGATACTTATTGAACATAACAGTGAAGAATAGTCAAAAACAGTGTGATTTGATGTTTTACAGTACTGGTCGTGTTTGTGATAGCCATATGGGGGAAAAGAAGCAGCCCATTCGTGCAGTTTCTACATTTTTCAGAGGGTGTTGGAGGTTGCATCGTCCCTCTTTTGGCAAACCCTTTCCTGGCGCCAACAAAATATGTAGACATTGAAAATAATGGAACATATTCCAACATGTCCAATGCAAGTTCTGGACCAGACAATGCATCAATGGTTGTGGAGACTACTGAAACTAACTTTCTCATAAATGAAAACAATGATATAACGGAGTCCAGTGTCAAGTATGCTTACCTTATTGTAGCTGTGTACTGTGGAGTAGTGGGTCTGCTTTTCTTTCTTATTGCTATCAAAATGAAAACAATTCGTGCTTTGAGACAAGATGCCAAAACACTGAACAATGAGCAACCGACAGAGTCAACTAAGGCACCACTTAATAAACGCTATAGGGTCAAAATGCTGTTCTTAGTGACTTTGATCTTTTACGCACATGGTGGAGTTCAAATAATCCTTAATGGACTTATAACGACTTTCTCCGTTGAAGAACTCCAATGGACAAAATATCTTGGAACAGCTATAGCGTCGGTTTCTGGAGGTGCAATTACCCTTTCATGTTTACTCGGAACTTTTGCAACTAAGATATTGTCCCAATCCCAAATGATATCAATACAGCTATCAACCATGCTCTTGTCAATGGCCACTATGGTAGTGTTTGTTCAGATGCACACTTATGTTTTATGGGTGACAGTCATTTTTACTGGATTATCAAGTGGCAGTATGATGGCTTCAATATATTCCTGGCTCCAAGAGAATGTAATGCCAGTAACGGGTATAGTAGTAAGCTGCAGTGTGGTTGGTAAATCAGTGAGTATGATGACAGTGCCCCTGTTGGCAGCTGCTCTAATGGAGAACGTACATTTCATGTGGTTTACGTATCTGCTACTTGGTATTGTTGTTTTGTTGGGGGTGATAGCCATATGCATATATGCATCTTTTAAAGTTCATATGAATAACCAAAACGCACAATGTGCTGTCGTGACATAAATCTTTCATTTCCTTTTAAAAAGATAACGCAGATCGTTACGCAAATACAATACAGAAAACTCCCATATGACTCCTGGTTCAAAAGCTCGCCTATTTTCAAAATGGCCACCACTTTTGTCTCGCGAAATTCACTTTTGACACATTTCCTAGCTTTACAAATAATTTCAGGGGTCCTACATTGTAAAAATCCATGTCAATGTAAAGGGTAGATATATGACAAATAATTTTGTTACAAAAAATCAGCGAAAAATTATATCCATTTTTTTTGTTTTCAGCCATTTTAGTTAACATTGATTTGTCTATCTGACTCGCGAAATCCACTCTCCGTCAATAACAGTGGCACGTTTTAAAACCTCTGTCGATAGGATTCCTGTTTTAAGTTATTTCTGTTCAACATCAATACAGAAAACTCCCCTATGACCCCTGGTTCAAAAGCTCGCCTATTTTTTCAAAATGGTCGCCATTTTTGACTCGCGAAATTCACTTTTGACCCATTTCCTAGCTTTACAAATAATTTCAAGTGTCCTACATTGTAAAAATCCATGTCAATGTAAAGAGTAGATGTATGAAATAATTTTGATACGAAAAATTAGGGAAAGATTATATCAATTTTTTTATTTTCAGCCATTTTAGTTAACATTGATTTGTCCATCTGTCTCGCTAAATCCACTTTTGGACCATTTGCCTTAAACCCTCTGTCGATAGGATTTCAGTTTCACGTTATTTTTGTTCAACATCAATACAAAAAACTCCCCTATGACTCATGGTTCAAAAGCTTGCCTGATTTCAAAATGGTCGCCATTTTTGTGTCGCGAAATTCAATTTTTGCCCATTTCCTAGCTTTACAAATAATTTCAAGTGTCTTGCATTGCAAAAAGCCATGTCACTGTAAAGGGTAGTTGTATGAAATAATTTTGTTACAAATAATTGGCAAAAAATTATATCCGTCTTTTTTCAGCCATTTTACTTACCATCGATTTATATTATATCCGTTTTTTTCTGTCACCATGTGAGCCCAGTACCCACGGTACTTATTTTTTCTTATTTTTTAACATTCTTGTGCCAAATCTCCCCCACACATGAAACCTATTCCTAATTGTGTATCTCAGAGGAATTTCAAAGCAAGTTGAAAGAAAGTTGAAATTATTGATAAATAATTAGGTATTACGATATTTTTACGATGTTCGTTTCCACAAATGATTCTTCATCAATATGATAGTATTTGTAGCCTCAAGTATATAAGATAAGATAAGTTTATTGTTCTTTATAGTGGTAGGTTACACAAATCAACCCAGCCCACCTGGGCTTATCAACCACTTAACAAGTTTAAACATTTTAAATTATACAATTAGTGAAATAAATATCAATCTGTGTCATACATATGGTTACGTCTTTTGACAAAGCACTCCCTTACAAAATGAGCAAATTGTCTTGTCATTTTCTCAAACAGGTACTTTAACTTTTCTACATTTGTGTCAATACATTTAAAAGTGTTATCAATAAAATACCTATGTCTAATTTCATTATAAAAATGGCAATGAAACACAAAATGTATCTCATCTTCCACACAATTTTGTTCACATAAACAGCATAATCTTTCTTCTAGTTTTTCATTCTTAAAACGACCCGTTTCTATTCTTAATGTTAAAATATCCATACGCAATTGTGCTAAAAGTGACCGTTCATATTTACTTAAATTCAATGTCAAATACTTTTCAGTTTCATAATTATTTTTAAAAGTTGCATAAGTCCTTAACTTTGGTTTTGAACTAACCATATCTGGCCATCTATTTTTATAATCATCCATACGATTCAGTAAGATTACATTTCTCTAAAATGCTTTTTACAGTTTGAGACCATTTACTCTTACATTTAATATCCCATAAAAATATTTTCTTTGTCAGTCTCCCATCTTCCAGCCATGATAGACGGTTAAATAATCGAACTAATTCAATTTGCTGTTCTGAAATTAAAGGTGTCCACCCAAAATCTCCATGCAAAGCATGTAAAGGCACAAATTTGTGTACTCCTGCATAATACCTTTGTGCTCTATCATAAATTAAATTACAATATTTTAAATAATCATGTGCTCCCCATACTCCGACTCCATAATATAGCACTGGCAATACACAAGCTTTAAATAATTTTGTAAAAGTATTAAATCCTATGTCTCTATTAAACTTGCACTTATTAATTAGAGCACCTAGAGCTCTACCTGCTGAGTCAGATAGCATTTTTACAGCTTCTTCAAACTTACAATTTTCATTAAATATAACACCAAGGTATCTGTATTGATCGATCATATTAACACTTACATCACCTAGCTTAAAATTAAAATTAGTTCTTTTTGTTTTTAATTTTCTAAAATGCACACTATTAGTTTTTGAAATGTTAACCTTGACACGCCATTTAAAACCCCATTTATTCACAATATCTAATAGCTTCTGTAAACTCTATTCACTTTCTGCTAACAGGACTAAATCATCAGCATATGCTAAAACTGACACTTTGGAATCTTCAATCTTCACACCATATGGACTTGAGTTTAATTCTTTTAAAAGTGTATTTATGTATATTGAAAATGATATTGGAGAAATTGTATCTCCTTGTCTCAAACCAGACTCTGTAGGAAACCAACTGGTCATAAAATTATTAAGTTTTATAGCAGACTGGGTCCCTATCAAAAATCCCTTAATAGTTTTATACATTTTACCTTTAACACCATTGTTTAACAGCTGAAAAAGTAGCAAATCCCTGTTTAAATAATCATACGCTTTCTCTAGGTCAATAAAACAAGTAAAAATATTTCCATTCTTTTCTACTTTGTTACGTATAATGCTGTCTAATGAAAATATATGGTCAATACAGGATCTATTGGCTCTAAAACCATTCTGGGAATCCTCAAGTAAAGCGTTATCCTCACAAAACATAACAAGTCGTTTATTGATAATATTGCTATACAGCTTATAGATACATGAAAGCATGCTTATTCCTCTATAATTAAGAGGTATACGTGGATCTTTGTCACCTCCTTTAGGAATAGGGAATACAATACCTTTTAACCACACGCTAGGGATAATGCTTAAATCAAAACACTTATTGAAAAATACATGAAGTGCCCTTTTTATAACTTTATTATTTTTATTTATATAATATATCTTTTATCGAAGATTTACTACGGATAATAGGATAATTTTTCAATTTTTCCTTTTTTAATTTTTGAGCGTGCGCAGTAGCGTATTACATATCGAAATGTGCAACGAAACGAAAAAACGAAATCACAAATAATCGAAAAGTAAAATGGAGGGAATATTTGAAATTATCTAAAGTAAATACAAATTTACCTTTGCAAATTCGAAACAACAGCAACGTTCGGCATTAGAGGCGTTTATTGAGGGCAGGGACTGGAAGTCGCCATTTTCTGTAAATATCACAGGGTAATTTCGTTTTGCCATCAAAAGTTTTACATTTACCCAGTGTCAGACAGGAACTCAGTAATCCCACAATGCAGTTCAGATTTCAAAAATCTCACAAAAATTGGAGGCTCATACATTAAGCTGAATAGTTGCAGATACATAGCATCATTTACATATATTAACCGTCAATAACTTCGGGGAAAGTGTTTTGTCAAAAAGTCAAGAGAAGAGGTAAGGAAACTGCCTATTTATATTTGGATTTTCTACTTGAACTAAAAAGGTACCCAGGTCCACGATTAGGAATAGGTTTCATTTGTGGGGGAGATTTGGCACAAGAATGATAAAATATAAGAAAAAACGCCAATTCGACCCCACATTTATGGGGGTAGAATTATCGGAATTTACTCCATTTTGGTCTGTAATGCGTTTTAGACTCGTTTTGAATAGTTACGCGTGGCTGGAACGCGTTACTACTATCCACCTTGTGTAAAGAGGCAAATATTCGACTGGTATCAATAGACGAACGGTATATACAAATGAAAAATAGATTTGTGTTTTGAAAAGGACATGCGCATGTTGCATGAATTAATGTGTCCCTGACCTGCTCCAAAATAATTTAAGTGTCATTGTCCGGTCTCCGTCACAAAAAATGAACATACCGTTTCAAAGTACTGACTTCCCTTATTAAGAAAATATTTTTTATTTTGATTGTAACGGGGGCTTTTTTCTCTAAACTGGGGTCAAACAAGGTTGCATTCTAAAAACACTTTCTTTTATATATTTTCTAAACTTACCACATAACTACACCTCAAGTATGATATCAATTGATTTGGATAAAAGTTAAGTACTTTTGATGTTTTGGTGTCAACACATTTTAAGTAATAAAAAACACTGTTTAATGCTTGGAAAAAGGTAATGTGACACGAATAAAAAGTACAGGGTGACTAAAATGTTAGCCAAATAAATATCTATGATGGCTTAAGAATATGATGATATCCCCGTGTTAAGCCAATAGTGTATATCCCCATGTTAAGTCAATATACCCTTGCTCAAATCCTCATTTTTTAAGTCAGTAGTTGTTTTTTTGTGGCGGACACCCGGACAACCAACTCCTTATCTAGAGCTCTTAGAGAAATCAGATCAGGGACTATAGTACCCCCACAAGTTTTTGATAATTATTTTGAATGATGCGTGATTTGAACACGCTAACATATACTTTTTGTTATTAAATTCAGCACACATAAACTAGAGACAATTTCCAACTTTGGATTTTTTTGTTTTTTATTTTACTTTAATAACAATAAAATACAAGCGACTGATCAAGGGTGTCATTAATGCGTTTAAACCAATTTGACGTCATAAATCAAAATTAAGAATCGCTGATTTTATTTACTAATCACTTATTTGTACAATAACCCATTGTCAAAATCGGCCTTTATGGTATTTTTGAATAGTCTATCTGTAGTCTGTCTATAAATAGGACAGGTCCATCAACAAGGTCTTATGTTAGAAATGTTAAACTTGCCCTAGATATCTAGTTGTCCAGTTGTTGTCATGGTTGTCATCATAAATATATGCATTGAAGCAATGTAGCAATTTAGTAAAACATTGGCCACTCTGTAGTATTTTGAAATTGAGCCAGGCCACGGGTAAAGGGGTCTTATCACAGATTTTTTAAATATTCTGATTTTTTGTTTATTTTAGAAAGCACAAAGAGACCTTTCAAATGAGCCCTGGCTTATGTCTTAACTATTTTTCCTTGCATATAGACCAGAAAGTCGGATTTGAATTTAGCACATTTTCCTCTTAATCTTGGGCACATTTTTGGCTCTGTATTACAATTCTAATTTTTGTGATAAGACCGGTTTTCCTATGGCCAGGCTCAATAACTGCCATTTAATAAGCATTATCAAACATATGGGTCAATAAAAATTTCCAATGTTGGAAATCATCTCTAGTTAATGTGTCCTAATTCTAATAACAAAAAATAGCACAGGGTGAGCTATCTATTCAAATAACGAGTCAAAGATACTACCAGAAACCTGTGTGGGGTACTATATAAGTGTGGCACTGAATACACCAGGATACCTTAAAT